ACGGGGCGATATGGGGATAGGGCGAAGTGGTTAGGGGCGACGTGGAAATGGGGCAAAGTGGAGATGGGACGATTTGGGGATGGGGCGATGTGGGGATAGGGCGAAGTGGTTAAAAAAAAACTTTGCTTAATAAACAAAGGTTACAAGCTCAAGCTCTGTGTGATTGTCATGCTAACCAAAAAACAGGTCAACACCTTTCCAAAACAATACATTACAAGCAGTGCTAAGCCTATGATTTTATGAAATTGCCCCCTGACAACCATAATGTTACTCCAATAGTAGTCCTCACTTGGTCTCTGTGTTACAAATCACCTTATGCAGAGTCCAAGTTAGGGCTATTCCGACTAGGCAGTGCATATGTCATGTAAGTAACATGCTTTCTCACCCAACATGCCCACACAACATCAATCATCAGGTCGTGGCATGACCAAGGCTCTATAGTATCAGTGTGGATCTAGCGACGGTGCTTGACTAACGTTATGCATACATTGCCTAATCAAGCGACAGTGATGTCATTTTAAGGTTAATTTTAGATCAAGGCATTCGGACCAACCCTATCTCTTCATCGATCTAATCTTCAGTAAATATGGCAATAATTTTCTAGATTTACACCGTAGACTAGTAAGGCTGCATACATGTATGTTTCCAATCATCTTACATGACAGCATTATTCCTTTCAGCTCTACATCTAGGTTCCCTTAAACTTTAAATTTTGTGCATCACTAAGTCCATGAGAATAGAAGTTGCAGATTTGCGTCTATTGCCCCCATGTCCCGATGCCACCGCCCCCCAAAAATCATTATTTACAAACATTTCGTTATTTGTAGGAAAAGACAGACACATGTCCAGATGTCTCCTTGAGCCATGGCCAACCAATGTGCATTGGATCAGCTTGCACGTTTATTATTTTACTGCGGGTCTTTTTATGTTGTGATGATCCCAATTTGACCTGATCCACGAACTGCTGAAGGGCCTACATGTAGCTCATCCTTCAGCGAGGCTTTCGGTTGTAGTTTGGCAGCATTATACTTGAAAAGTGTCTGTATTTGGAGGTTGAAATAAAATAATGAAAAGTGAAAAATGCCTCGTGATTTTTATTTTTTTGGGCCGCAAATCTACAACTTCTTTTCTGATGGCCTAAAATTTCATGGTGAAATCTTTCCAGACAGTGTCAGTTTTTACCACTAGGTGGCCTATGCAACTTCAGCTGACAAAAACGTCTTGTGAAAAAAAATAGGAGTTTTTGCTAATTTAATTTGCTTTATGTAAAAAATGTTGGTATTCATTGTTTTCATGGATTTCATGGAGAATATTTTGATTCCCTGTGGGTTTTGGAAAATTTCCTTTGGAAGATGTGAATGGGGTGGTGTTTTGTTTTAATGGCACTTTCAGCTACTCAGTCTATTTGTGCCAATAGCTATATGTTTATTGATAACCTTTAGTAATCAGCATCACATTACGGAGTTAAGAAGGTCCACTTTTAGAAGCAGGAGGAAACCAGAGTACCTGTCTCCGACATTTAGAACAATGTGCTGCATGCTTCCTATGTGTGAAAAAGAGCTGTGTTCCAGGCACATGGTCCACCGGGGTCATGCGTAATGCCATTTGTTATTACATGTAAGTGATCTCTTTTCCAGGTACTCGGGTACCCGATGTTGACAAAAAATGGGAAACCGGTTCCAAAAATACCCAGAAATGCACAGCCCAAACCCAGAGGAAACCTGCAAGAGCGAGTATGGACTGGAAACCAAATGCACTTGAAGCCTGGGCCAATCCCAGACTGGAACCCGGGCCTCATTGAGGCAAAGCGAGGAAAGAACTGCTACATGTACATGTACACTAACCCACTCCCCTGTGTGGATGTGTAGCCCTGTTACATGTCTTTTATGCATATGTGAGAGGCTGCCATGGCTGCTGTAGCAAATATTAGACTGGCTCCTAGTCCACCATGTAAATGATGCAGACTACCAATAAATAATGTTTTGTGAAAGGAAATACATGTAAGTTCTGGATAAGCTTTTTTGAGAAGTATAAATGGTTTTGATAATTTTTTTCATAAATCTAATTTTGCAAATTACATGTATATGATTTGTGCGTAGGTTTTCTTGAATAGTGTCTAGAATGGAAATCTCAGAAAATTTCAAAATCTCATGAGAACAGAATGACGTCATTGTCACTTGATCAAGCAACAGTACAGCATCACTAGATCGAGCCATGGTCACTGACCTTATCATTGCTACACGTAGCTGATTTCTGAACTTTTATCCATCTACTTTATTTCAAGCTTTGACTTTTTCCAGGGAAATACAACGAACAGTACCTTGAACTTGTCAACAAAATTGAGGGGTATTTCATCTAACGGTCTATACAACGTGTACCATATGCAATGTTATGACAATTTTTTTTGTCGCTTTAACACTTCATCAGCTGGCCATGTCAACAGAAGTCTCAGACAGCTTCTGACACTTCAGTGAACTGCTCCCTAATTTTGGAATGACATTTTTTGTCTCATAGTTGCGAGATACCAAAAAGTGGGTCACTGTAGATTGTCCTGAGCAGTAGTTATGAAGAACACCCTCCATATTTGAATTATAAAGGAGACCAGTAATCATGATAATTGGGGTGCTAGTATTTTTTGGTTTGCATTTTGTGAGGCAGCTCTATTGTAAGGTTGGTTGTACCGGTACATGTACTTGTGCTACACTATATTTTTGGAGTGAAGCTACATGTATGGTTATAAAGTTTAGTTTGTTTTAATCCCACGGGTACATAAACCTTTTTGCAAGTGCCCTTTCCCTTCATATACGTATGTATACACCTTTAAATCTTCAGTGTTAATATCCACAAGCAGACATCTCTGAGTACGATAGTGGCAATGTACCAGTGTTATTTATCACACATCAAGCTCAAAAATTATGAAGAAATAATAAAGATTTGAAGTTGACTAGATTACCTTGAAAATAGCCCACTTCACAAAACTGAAAGTCCAGATCCATTTGTTTAGGGCTGTACAGTGTCGTGAGTGTGAAACTTATTTGTCCCTTTTGTTTTGTTGATTAATCCAGGGTATCCCCATCCATCTCCTGTCCCTCTACCATCATGGAAAGAAAGTTGGCAGCAGTGACCTCATTCAAGCTGGGGATTGCTACCAAGCTCTGTTGTGTCTCCAAGGAGGGAAAGGAGGTATGTAAATTAGAGGTACATGTACGTCATCCTGGTACGGTCCAGAGCTTGTGATGTCTAACTCACGTGGCATAACATTGTTTTCAAACCCTGCAGTGATCTTTAATGGTTCTTTTCTTCTTGGATAAGACTCTTTGCCTATTTCTACTTTCGAGAATACATGTTACATGTAGGTACATGTACATAGCTTGACTGCATAAAACCAATTTTCTGACCTGAAGGACAGTGTTGATAGTAAGAGACGTAGTTTTTAACACATTGCTATATGGTATAACTTCTCTAGTCTCTTTTGTATTGTGATTGGAGGCGTAAAGTTCCTTGCTCTTGGTTCCAATTTGACAGTGTCTTGTCCTTAGGAACTCTCAGAAAAAGTAGGTACAAGTACATGTAATACTTACAATTCATGTGTAGATAGCTCTCAATCATTAATGCCTCTTTTATTCAAAATTGGTTCGGACTTATTCAGTTTGAAGTACTCTCCAATAAAATATGAACTTAAATTCTGGATTTTTTTTAACTTACTGGCATTGAAATGTTCATCCCATAGACCTTGTGTCTATATATCCACCTCACCTCAAGTGTACAGGTTGAATTCCTCTTTATGTCTGTATACATGTACGTGTACATGTATTCTTTACCTGACACAAAGGAATGCATGACTAGGAATGTTTAGAGCAAAGAATTTCTTTGTTTGCTTAGATGCATTCATGTCTTGGTCTTGGGTTGCACTCTTAGAATTCCTTGATATTTCCTGTCGAGCCATCATGCTATCTTACGTACATTTTTCTACAGCTTCCATGATTTCATGTTTTCGTGTTTGGGCCTTCATCAGCCTTGACCTTCAGAAACTTTGTTTAGAACAATTGTGGTTCTATTTTTGTGCTGTCCCCTCACTGAACATGTACAATGTGAATATTGTTTATCTTGTAGGTCTTGTGTTCATGAATGTATTGCTGTTCAATATGAAAAGTGACCATAATACCTGCTTTGCAATATTCTCATCTTTTCAGGTTTTGGGTCCATGCTGCGCATGATTGGTGCACAGATTGACAAAACAACCAATCACGATGCTTGCCGAGATCTGAGTGGGCGGAGAATGAGGGATGTCAACAATGAAAAGAAGTGAGTATTGGAATTTGTAGGCAGGGAAAATATGCACAGGTGGCACTCTGCCAAGTTGCCATTGGAAACATTTTGTACTACTGTGTATGGAAGTGTGTTTTTCTGTTTTTAGGTTTCTTTTAGCAGAAGAAAGAGTTCAGCCTGTCAGTTACATTACTTTATTTGACATTTTATCACAGACGGCAGCCTGTAGTTGCTATTACAAACCTTGTCATCCTTGATAGCCTACAGTGCAACCAGTATTAGCTTTAATGCTGATTCATGTGTGGCACGAAAGCAAACACAAATATTTTATGTGAAATTTGTACGTCACATGGAATATTTGTGCTGCAAATTTGCACATTTTGAACACATTTCAAATCAAGCAAAATTTGCTGCAAATCTTCAGAGACATATTTGCCTGAAGTACAAACCAGTCTTTAGAGTAAATCTATTCCAGACCGGCTCATGTCATGACTAATACTATGTTGATTGTAGACTGAGTGATTGGATTACCAAGAAGGCAGAGATGGAACGCGAGAGGCAAGAGAAACGACGGGAGAAACTAGAGAGACTTAGGCAGGAACCTAAACACATCTTTGTGGATCCCAGCTATGACAAGCAGAAACAGGAAGTGATTGAGAACCTGGATGAAGCTATCACACAAGGTAAAGAGGGAGTTAAGAAAATCTGGTGTTTAGTGAAGATACAGAAATAATCTGTACATGTAAACAATTGACTGAAGAGATCCTAAAAGAGTTGTGATGTTGTGGTACCATCATTACAAATCTAAAGAAGTGATGTTTACTTTTTTGTTTTTCAAGCAAATTAAAATTTAGAATTAAAATCAGCCTATTAAAATTTGTGAATGCTTCTCAAATTTAGGCATTATGAGTTTCATAACGGAAGAAGAGATGGTATGATTTGTTTTACGTAAGAACAGCATCCCTTTGTTGGGGATATGGCTTTGGTGGATACGTGAATAAATTCAGGCATGCTTGATGTGTGCTGCATTACCCTCAGAATGCACAGTATTAGAAGTGCTTGAAATGAATAAGTCATATCTATTACATCAAGTTTTGAAGCTACCTGAAGGGTATTTATGAGAAATAAATTGATGGCTATGACAAAATCTGAGGAATGACCAATGATATGAAAAGCATCTCATATTTGTGAAGTTAGACTATGATTTTTGTTTCATTTTGCCTGACAGGAATTCAAGCTGCTGCTACTCTCAGTGAAGGTGCCTCATCCTCAGGAGTAAAGACTGTCAAGAGGAAAGCCGAAGCTAGTGTTAGGAGCAAGAAGAGATCAAAGACACTGTGGTAAATGCTTAATCAGTTGCCATTTACTGTGTCATAGGGTTGTACTTGAGACTAGTACAAGTCTTTTCACAATAACTGTCACAAGTGTTAGGTTGAGCAGAGACAAAGGAATGTTTGTTGCAGTTTATTTGAATAATTTGTGACTTGACTTTGGCTGGTTTGTGATGGACTTGGAGGAATTTGAAAGGACTTGTGATTGACTCAATGACAACCCTAGTGCATCAGTATATGAAATGATTGTATCAGTACCCATTGGAAGCCAACAAGCAAGAAAAGGAATTTTGCCAAACTTTTTAATGAGACAAAAAATGGGGTAGAAGGAGGGACGGCGCTACACAAATGAGTACAGGTTTTATATTTTACAGTTTTGCAGAACACTTTAAAAGGCCAGTCTGCCTGGTTGTTAAAATACAAATGAAATGATATGAAATCTGTGTAACTCCAAGCTAACTACTCGCCCTATTCATAAATAATCATCAAAAATTAAAATAATAATTAACTTGCCATATGCATGACTTTCCTTCAAGGTTGTAGGCTACATAATAGAAAAACAAAATAGCCCAAACTATAAAACACGCAAAACAGTGACAGAAAATGTGCATAGTAAATTCAAAAACAAAAGAAAACAAGTTACAGAAGTACAAGAGGTGTGGAAGGAGTTGATTGATGTTAAAGACCTTGTCTGTTCTACAACATACAATCTGAGAAGACTCCAAAACTCACAGATGAGATTGTACTTTGTGTGATTTGTATGCATTAGGATGGGTCTGGAGGAACGTAGTGACAGTGACAGTGACAGTAGTGATGGTGAAGACATGATAAAAATAACCAGTGTCATCTCAGAATCCAACACAAGCAGTGAGTCACCAAGTACTAGTGACAACAGTCCTAGTGTCTCAAGAAACAGTCCTTCCAGTAATGTTACCGATCCAGGGCAAGATTCAGAACCTGAAATCAAACCTATTGTGGCTAAGACAGGGGGAACTGAAGGTAACGAGGAGGATTTGAAGGCAATCAGAGAGGACAATGGAAAATGTGAAGATGCAAACTCATTGTTGAACATGTTACCTGCACCATCAAACAGCGAGAATAGGAACAGTGATGAAAGTATTAAAGATGAGAAAGATGAGGTGAGTTGGATGAGATTGGATGAATTAGATGAAAATGTCTACTATGTATAAGGTCCCCACCCCCCCAAAAAAAATCAACTCAAAATGAATGTTTATTTTCTTTGAAAATAATTGCCAGACATTGCATTTTTGGTATCAAACTGAAGCTCAGAATGTAATATTTTCAAATCTGTAGGAATTCATTTAAATCTGGTGATGCACAGTGGAGATTCTCTCAATTCCTTAAAATACTTTCTGTTTGGTTCAGTCCAGTGGGAGTTACCACAGCTATCAAATGCAGTATTTACACCATTTTACCCTCCTTTAGCCCGCCTATGCTAAAGTCACTCTTTGGGCCAATTAATCAGCTGCACAAAGATGCACACCTGCGTCACATTGTGCACTGCACCAACTATCCCTCACAGGAATATCAGATTGCACTTTTGTGCTGTTCAACAACTGTGCCTCACTGTTTCATGTGTAGAATTGTGCAGTAAAACAACTGCAGTGAAGAGGACTTCACAAAAGACCCTGAGTCACTTTGTGCCGGCAACCAACCGTATGCACATTGAACGTGCGCATATATGTGTTCCACATAGAAAACAAATGCACCAGAGTGACTGTTGGCATTCATGTATATCTGTGCTGTTAAAGCATAGGAGGGTTAACACATGAGATCATCAGAAAGCCTGCAGAAGGATACTGAACTGGGCAGGATTCTGTTCAGTTAGGTTCTGTAAAACCTCTTATTTTCAATAAACAAACAGGATCCTCTAATAATTCAAAGTGGTTAGTCTTACAGCAGTCAATAAGATCAGCTTTTTGTTACAACTTGACTGAGGTAATCTGACAAGTTCAAGCAAACTTGTTTTCTCTGAAGCAAACTCATTAAACTATGTTGGGTGATAATTTAGGATCTACGTTCAGTGATTGCATACCTACGCTTGCAAGACAAGCTCTTTAAAGTTCCATTTGACAAAATAAAAAATGAGTTGTGTTATGTGATAGAAACTATCCCCGCAGCGCAATACAAGGAACACACTGATGTCTGAAAAGTATGTATTGTTTGCAGACTTTGTATTTTTAGTGAAGTTGCCATCACCAACAACCCAGTAAAAAAGAGCTGCCTTGGAAATCTTTCCAATTTCATACGACATGTATTCTCTTTCTCATACTCCTCATCATTCAACGTTGCCTGATTTTCCTCTCTCCATTTTTGGCACTTTCAGGAGGAGCAACCGTTTGACTTGGACAAGTTCTCCTCAGCAGCAGAGCTAGAGTCTGTGGGTCTAGATACCCTGAAGTCTGCTCTGATGGTTCGAGGCATGAAGTGTGGTGGTACCCTACAGCAACGTGCAGAGAGACTCTTCTCAGTTAAGGGTATCAGTCTAGATCAGATTGATCCATCATTGCTGGCCAAACCAAGCAAAGGCAAGAAGGGAAAGTGAGACCAAGGAATACTGTCATGTCACCCTTTAGATCAGTTCTTACTTGTCATAAAAGTGAATGCATGGGTAAATTAGTGAGATCTCAGCATGTATTAGTTCTAAAATTACAAATGCTTAACACATTTTAAGCCTGGTACCCTTGACATATTGGGGTGTTTGGAAACAGCCCATTGGAATTAGATTTAAAGCCTTTACGACTTCCAGTTAGTCTTTCTGTTGTATCTTATATGTTCTCTCATGTTTACGTTTGGCCTATCAGGGTTCCAACTTCCATATTGTAAGCAGCAATCGGAGTTTAGCCTAAAGCATATTCTTTGCAGGCACTTATGTACCTGTGAATGGGGCGCTGAATACTGTGTGTTTGTCACCAATTGCTCAGGAGTTTACCCAAAGTTTGTTAATATTCACCTTTGATTATGTAGAACCTTATCAGCTTTTTTGAGTGTCAGTTAACTTTGAGTAAACAGTAATTCAGGAAAAAGGTTTGTGATCAGTCACTTCATGCTGGATGTCATCTGAACACACAGGGACTATGTTGTAACGTGGAGGATGTTTTAACATTACAACAAATAAGCCTTTTGTGAGTTAAATTTGAATAAAATCTGGTACACCGAAGTCTTTAAATTCATGTGAACATAAAAATTTGAATTCTCTATACTAGAGACACTGTTGCAATACCTTGTGATTCTGAACAAGCTCTTTGCTTAGTTACATAAGAGACACCTTGCACCAATACACTGTTCTCAAAGGAACCAGTCCGTTCCAGAGATGGTGGTCACTGTGCAAAAGCTTGCCCCAGATCACGAGGTATAGCAAAAGTGTCTTTAGTCTGGAGAATTCAAATTGTTATGTTTGCATGTGTGTAATCAGATAACTCAGTGTACAAGATTTTATTCAAATTTAACTCGCAAATGGCTTATTCTGAATTCAGTGCTGCACATAACGTCTGTCTTTGACTCCTTGCTTGAACCATTTCTATTGAGTCGTTATACACACAGGTCAAACTAGTCCACTGATGTTGAGTGTGTGTGGAACCCTCAAGCGGCCACATCCAGGCTTGGAACAAATACCGCTCCATAACATTGTCTTGAAGTATTAAAAAGGTGACAATTTAGTAACAAAAAATGTTGCACAAATCTTGAGCAACTGACCCCCGAGGATCAGTATTTGTAAAGTCCAAACTTTTTAAAAGACTGTGGTTGCGGTATCTTGTCGTTTTAAGAGTTGGAATTTTGGGCTGAAATTAACTCCCGGGACGAGAGGGATGTGGAATAATAGGTAGATGGTTCATCGGGAGGGTTGCCTTTGAGAAAAAACAATTAAAGGGAGGGATGCATAAGCTCATATGGCAGACTGATTCTTTGACTACACAGGTGACTCTAATTATAAAGAATATTGCAGTACTGTCTTAACAAAATACTGTTATAAGGAGTAAATTTGGAGAATTCCACTGTCTTGATTTCTTCTACAGTCAAACCTCATTAATAAGAGGTCCTCTGGACTTGGCAAATTACTTTGTTGTAAAAAGGAACGATGTATAATCGGGAATGAAAACAAAGGATAGGGACCTAAAATTTTAACTATTTTAACTGTTATAAGCAGAACCTTGCATTAATAGTGCTTTTATTAACGAGATGCAACTGTACTTTCTTAGTTTCTCAACTATTGTAACAAAGTCCTAGTTATAACAAAGCAATTTGTGTGGTCCCTGAAACTTTGTTTTGACTGAACTGACTGTAAAATACTCTTTTGAGAATAGTGAACTGTTTTTATTCCTTTTACCTGTTAACTGGTTGGCTGTATTTGTTCTGACGAGTGTACAATATCTTTTATCCTAATCGTCAGTGCTGGAACATTTTGAATGGAAACAAAACAAATAAAAAATCACCACTTAAAATCATTGTTTCTGGTAAGTTTGTTTCCACGGAAACAGCAACTTTCCCTGTAAGCCCACTTACGAGACAAAACAAATGGAAAACTGTCTCTAGTTTCAAGATACGATGTAGTTCTATAAACTAGTCAAATGTGCTCTTATACGGGATGGTAAAGGTGATTGTCAACACACTTCCTGAAGTTCCAAGGTATTTGTCTTTACGTAGTTTTGATGAGTAGGTTAATAATAATCCTGAACAACTGGTAGGTTTAGCTTTACTGGATATCCATTCAAGGTATGGACCATTGCAGATGGCAGGTACCAAACTGGCTTATCCACAGGAGCCTTTACTTTTAGGTACTATTTTTCTTCCACATGCTACCCTTGATTTTCAATACATGCGAGTGCTCTGTGTGGTGAGGTTTGCTCTACACGTTGCATTACAGGCATATCTTGACAGTGGCAGCAAGGGCATATTCAGTTGGCCGTTTTAATTGATAAATTGTCCTTGGAGGGCTTTCGTTATTCACTCTGGATTTGCCATAGCTAAAAATCTAACAGAGTGAGGTGTGGTAACCTCATTGGCCATTCTACCTGATGATCAAGTTCAACTAGCCAGATGGGAAAAGTTATTGAAGCTGAATGCAAACTATTCCTTTTTTCCGAGTAACAGTTTTCCTGTATTATTAGACAGATATTTCAGACAAAGCAGGAAATACCTCTGAACAAATTGAATTGCGAATTGGGATCACTTTTCATTCAACCATGCTAATGTTCAATCATACATACATGTATGAGTAATTGACAAGTCATTTGTGCTATCTGCATCATCTTGAAATCTAGTTAAGCTAGACCTACTGGTACCAATTTTTTTAGGTTTACTGTTTATCACTCTACTCATCAACACTACGTAAAAACAAATACCCTAGTGTTTCAGGGTGAACAATCACCTTAGACTTGGATTAACTTTTTTGAACCATTTTAATTGCTAAATGTTTGTTTAAATATTTTCTAAAGTGGAATACCTTTGTTTGGTGTTCTGCAACTGTGTGCCATTTAAAGGATTGTTTTAGGAGACAATGAAGAAATGTTCCATTCTAGTGTCAGTCGTGTCCATAACACTCACACAAGTCTGTGATTTCAGCCATATATTGAACTTCCAAAACACACAGCCTGCTGTAACAAATATCATTGTCGTACAGATGTACCTCTGCCTTGAATTCGGTTTTTAATTGGCCCAGAAAAGTCACTTGATAGGGTGACGTAACAGCATGTCACACTCATCATTAGACATTACATCTGCCAACATTTTACGATGTCACATGCATGTGATGCCACAGTGCATGCAGGAACCACCCTTATTTTTCCCTTAAGAAAAAAAAACAAATTAGAAGTCAATAAAGAGATACAAGTATGGCAAAACAATTGTTGACTGCTGTGATGTAGGATATGATATTTTCAACACCGTTGGAGACACATAGCACCCTTGGCTGTGTCTTGGATGCTATGCATCCCCCGGTTTTTCAAAATGTCATATCACATATCCCAATAGTCATCAATTTTCTGACAGGGATTTGGAATGGTGAAAAAGATCAAGTTTTAGTGAGCAGTGTAAGCAGATATTGTGCAAGCAAACTCAGCAGAGTCAGTGTTTTTGTTTTTTTGACCTTGCTTTAGATTTGGATGATAGATCTTGTTTTTTCCAAAAACGTTTTCTGCAAAACATTATCCCACTGCTAGGGGCAGTTTGTTGTGGGAAAAGCCGGCTTCCAAGTTGTTTGTCAGTACCTTTAACGTGTTTGTTTAAATTGTTACATATTACTCTTAATTTCTGTTTTCAGGGATGGTTGGGAGTTCACGTTATATTTCTGAGACACACTAACTTAAGTACAGAAAGCTATACAAGGTATACACAACTGCGTAACTTTAATCATTTTGACATTAGTTTATTAGAAAACTGTATTTCAATATTTGTAATAAATAAATACTGCAGTTGTCCTGTCAGCCTATATCATACCGCTGCTACTTTTTCATATTTTAACACCATTTTGTTAACAGAAAGGTTGCCGAGTGCAGCAATCTTACAAATAATCATTTCATAACTTGAAACAGTTTCCAAAATTTAAACAATGCAGAAGGTCATTAATATTTCCATCCTCAAACAGGACTTATTGCAACAAAGAAGCAAATCTAAAAGACAAATTTAAACCTTTTTTTGTAGGTGAAACTTATTCAGATTACCATGAAGACAACCATCAAAACATGCCTTTTCACCAATTATCTCATTCCATTAACAGAGAAAATTCAAAACTTTTAGAGTAAACAAACAGTTGGAACAACAAAATAAGCTTTCCAAACAATATATTAGATATTTACAATTCAAACTCTGAATTCATATACAAAACACGCAAGTCATTACAATAAATATTCTAACAGTTTTAGGCAATACAAAACTGGTCATTGTGTTCAATACACTCCTTGTGCTCTACATGTACACCAAATACATTCGTTTCTGCTTTCACTTCATGAAGTACAATAACTGTATCACCTAGCCTGTGTAGCCTCATGAAAATTTGGAATGTTTTCTAATAAATACTAGGAACCCTGTCATATCTGCCCTGAGTTGAATCGCAATCTCACCTTCAAATACAATACACACTGGTGAGAAGACAATTGACACTGATATTTGGGCGTCTGAATTCTTGGCTGTGTCTGCAAGCAACATCCATTTCCATCATCAGGGCAAATGCAGGAAACCACTAGCTATGGCTTTCATAAACTTATTTTATTTCCAATCAAAGCTGAACAACACATCTTGGAAAGAAATCTCTTCTAGAATCAGTTCTGTTGAACAGTCTCCGATCTGCAAAACAACTTGGTAAGCTTCAGGAGAACAGTGCATCTGGAACTGTTTCGATTATATCTAAAAGAAAAAAGAGGAATACACTAGTTTACAGAAATCTGCTGTTGAATGAATCACGGTTGAAGAAATGCATCTACATGTATATGTACACCATGCCGCTGTTCATTACAGCTGTTTGCAATTTTTTGCACAAGCCTTTTGAACAGGTCCCAAGTGGATGACCATAATTCATAAAGAATTTAAGTTTTACCAACAAATGATCAACATTATATCACTGTGGTACTGGTGTCTGTCATATTTTTAAGATTTCCAGTTGACTATTTACTGTCATGTTAACTACCTACCTTGGGGCAATTTCTTCATCTTCTCATAGTCTATCAAACCGACAGTGTCAACATATTGCCTGAATCTGGCTGGTCTGAATGGTGTTGGGCCAAGGCGGGAGAAAATGCATTCTGGTAGGCCCACCGCCTTGTCAACATACTCTAGCATCTTCTGCTTCTTAGGGAGGTCCTTCTGGGTTGCACGATCACAGGTCTGTGGTGAGCTCTACTGAAAGGAAAACATTCAGTGTCTTAGCATTAAGCTGGAAGATAGACAAACAGTGGCACAGATGAGTTAGCCTTTTCAGTAAAAAAACGAAAAGAATAAAAAAGCCAGTCACTGTTCAGCTCTGTGTTTGTGAAGGATGTTTCCAAGCCACTCCACACGTAGTGTGCTCTGTAAGATTGCAAGATGTGTCAGAAGATGACATATTGCTGACTCAAAGATACAGAAATGACCTGCTGCTCACTACATTCAGGCAATTAAAACAGCACTAGTTACACATGCATAAACACGGCCTACACTTAAAACCAAATGATCACTACTGTACAACAGAATGATGCAATTCCAAAACTTGCTTGCTAAGGGAACATGAGATTATGAAACATTCCTATTTAAGAAATCTCTGTGCTGTATCCTATTCAGCTGAAAGACTGATACAAGCTATCAGCGTTGTTTAAGACTATCAAAATGTTTCATTCACATTTATTT